TGATGATGTGATATGAAACCATATGAAGAAGCAAGTCGACAACGGTGAGCGTGGTTGAAGGAAGTGTCCTCCGAGTACTACATAGATAGCATCACTGACGTAATCTGCTGCACCCTGCAGGGCTGTACTGGCTACTGATGGGCTGTTGGTGTTACCAGTTGGGGCTGACCCGAAGCCTTGAATCCTCTCTTGTAAGGACTGTGTGGCATTATCGATATCATCGCCCTGAAATACGGCTACTACTCATCGAATCATCAGACATGAACGGTATTACCTGATTGAAGGTTATGTCCCATACAGCGGTAGCAGTATCCCTAACTAGACGATAGGGTTCATCGCCATAGGTGGGACTAGGAGGCCCAGTGAATTGGGTAGCCTGCTCTATCACAGCAGCATAGGATCGCAGCTGTATGCGGAATGGGGGTACTCTATTGGCCAAGTGTTTCATGCACAATAACGCCTTCAGTTTTACATGAGCGTGATCACCAGCAACACACTGAGCCAAGTAGGCAGCCACATCAGGGACCCCTTGGGGATTCCCTCTGATGTTGGTAATGAGATCATTGAAGGCATAACCAGGAGTAGGCTTATTATCCGTATTAGTAGCATATCGGATAAGCTCCCAATCTATCATATTAGTGTTAACAGCCGCAGATGATGCGACTCGTGAAAACCAACTAAGAACTGGATTATATAAACGGATCGGTACAACTCAAGAGTGGACTCTACCGTCAACCAAACATCGTGACAAGAAAATGAAGAGAGTTCTACCTAAATGTCATACGCGAGTCGCTTCGCTCCGTCTGGAATTCAGCAGGCGGTGAGCTTCCAAATTTTCACCAAGTTGCGCACTGCTGAACTAGCTCGTTACCATCCCCGATGCCGCGAAGTCTTTACAACGTATGAACGTATCCTGGAATTGCCCGAGATTCCGGGGAGTCTACGAAGGTCGAGATAGGCCGAAACGTCCCTCCCCATGAGCCCCATCCACTTGAGAAGCCGTTGAAGCATGGGAACGCCGTTGGCATACATATGCTGTTCGGAACCTGGCTCCGCCTTTGGGGAGGCCTCGCTGTCCATGTCAGGTTTCGTTCGGCTGTATTGTTGAGCTTGGAGTATTGGGTCAATGAGGTCACTCACCGCGGTGGGTAGAACTCAACGTGCCTTGAGACTGTTCGGATTGTCTTTGTGGGAGGCCCCTTGTTATGGTGGGCATATCGTGGTGTTAGCTGGTGGATTTAGTTATACTTAATGGAAGCCTGCCAGAAGAGGCTCATACCGGACACTTACTTGATAGTAGATCCACTTGTTGAGAAAGTGTAATGCCAGGCAGGGGGAGTCAATTGTCCGAACTTGCCTCAGGTACTCTAAGTTGAAACTTGAGCACCCTAACAGCCCAGTATCGGCTAAGAAACATCTCCCTGAAGATGAGCTCAGAGATGCGGCATTCCTGGATGCCGTCCAAACCTCAGTAGTGGCTGGAGTGGTGACTTACTCACTGTGACACCTGCCTTCAAGGTTAACAAGTGGATATCAGACATAGCTCGAGTGATCAAACTACAACATGATAGACTTGCCTCTCCATCTGGTGGTAAACCTGATGATGCCGGATCTATCGCAATTAGGGAGGTTAATTTCTTCATAGCGGTTGAGGCCAACCTGCTAAGTGTCAGAAAGCAGCTGGAAGATCCTATGGTAGGCTTCTAGTAGACCACCGCCACCTCATTCGGTATCATGTCAGCTCAGGTCCAATTCGCATTGGAGGCTTTGAGGATTGGTCGAAGATTCCTTTCAACTGTTTCCTTCGAGGCACACGTGGAGCTGCCAGACAATCTCGAGCTGGTCCAGTCCAGTTTATTGTTGCTAAGGGACCTCCCAATTCATGCTCTACTTAATGCTACTACTGTGGAGGAAATATCGGAGGCTGTGGAGGGTCTATTTAATCATATGAGGCGGAATTTGCGGAAGGCTAGGCGGTATCCTGTCTATAGGGCGGCAGTGCTTATGGAAGATGTATCCAGAGACCTACTCACCCAGCTGAACAAAGTCTTGCATCCCAAAGAGGGATCAACTATCATGCAGCTGCCATATGCTGACTTCGAGCTATTGACTGGAATATGCAGGGAGCTCTGTACTCAATGGGCTGACTCTGCCAGGCAGTTCAAGCAACAGTTACGTGATGAGCTTAAACATCGTAGTGGTCAGTCAGCCGAGCGTGTACCTGCCAAGATGAGGTTTGCTCATGAGCCTCTACAGGATCGTATAAATGAATTGAGACAGTTCAGGAAGCAACATGAGCAATTTGTCCAGACGTTGGATAAGGTATTCGTGGTAGTATCCGGTAAGGATGGAGGGACAGTCTCTGCTGCTGCAACTGCTACGAAGAATACAGTAGTGGCTGCTTATGATAAGGTCTTGGTTGTTGATGTTGTGGATACTAC